TACGTGCGTGACCTGGGGGTATGTGCGTCACCTGGGGGTACGTGCGTGACCCGGGGGTACGTGCGTGACCCGGGGGTACGTGCGTGACCCGGGGGTACGTGCGTGACCCGGGGGTACGTGCGTGACCTGGGGGTACGTGCGTCACCTGGGGGTACGTGCGTCACCTGGGGGTACGTGCGTCACCCGGGGGTACGTGCGTGACCCGGGGGTACGTGCGTCACCTGGGGGTACGTGCGTGACCCGGGGGTACGTGCGTGACCCGGGGGTACGTGCGTGACCCGGGGGTACGTGCGTCACCTGGGGGTACGTGCGTGACCCGGGGGTACGTGCGTGACCTGGGGGTACGTGCGTCACCTGGGGGTACGTGCGTGACCCGGGGGTACGTGCGTGACCCGGGGGTACGTGCGTGACCCGGGGGTACGTGCGTGACCCGGGGGTACGTGCGTGACCTGGGGGTACGTGCGTCACCTGGGGGTACGTGCGTCACCCGGGGGTACGTGCGTGACCCGGGGGTACGTGCGTCACCCGGGGGTACGTGCGTGACCCGGGGGTACGTGCGTCACCTGGGGGTACGTGCGTCACCCGGGGGTACGTGCGTGACCCGGGGGTACGTGCGTGACCTGGGGGTACGTGCGTGACCTGGGGGTACGTGCGTCACCCGGGGGTACGTGCGTGACCCGGGGGTACGTGCATCACCCGGGGGTATGTGCGTGACCCGGGGGTACGTGCGTGACCCGGGGGTACGTGCGTGACCCGGGGGTACGTGCGTCACCCGGGGGCACGTGCGTCATCCGGGGGTGCGTACGTCACCCGGGGGTGCGTGCGTCACCCGGGGGCACGTGCGTCATCCGGGGGTGCGTACGTCACCCAGGGGTGCGTGCGTCACCCGGGGGTACGTACGTCAGCCGGGGGTGCGTATGTCACCCGGGGGTACGTGCGTCACCCGGGGTACGTGCGTCACCCGGGGGTGCGTGCGTCACCCGGGGGTACGTGCGTCACCCGGAAGTATGTGCGTCACCCCTGGGGTACGTGCGTCACCCAGGGGGCACGTGCGTCACCCGGGGGTACGTGCGTGACCCGGGGGCACGTGCATCACCTGGGGGCACGTGCTTCGCCCGGGGGGGCACGTGCTTCACCCGGGGGGGCACGTGCTTCACCCGGGGGCGCACGTGCTTCACCCGGGGGGGCACGTGCTTCACCGGGGGGGGGGCACGTGCTTCACCCGGGGGGGGGGCACGTGCTTCACCCGGGGGGGGGGGTACGTGCTTCACCCGGGGGGAACGTGCGTCACCCGGGGGCACGTGCTTCACCCGGGGGGGGGGGAATGTGCGTTACCCGGGAGTACGTGCGTCACCCGGGGGCACTTGCTTCACCCGGAGGGCACATGCTTCACCCGGAGGGCACGTGCATTACCCAGGGACACATTCTTCACCTGAGTATATACTTGTATCATTTACAGACCCCGAACACGAACCACGACGTGTCGGGCGGCTGGTCCAGAAAACAGCAGAGTAAGGTAATTATTGACCCACCTCTTGGAGGAAGAGCGACTCAAGTATTCAACAACAACTTGAGAGAACAAAGATTTTCACAGCTTTGGTGGGGTCACTTGAACTGGTCGGTAGAGCGACGGCCTTGCTTCTTGCAGAGTCGGCGTTCAACCTCCGCTTACCCAAGTGGTTGGGCACCATTCCTCCAGTCAAACGCAATCCAAGTGCTACATAGTCAGACTGGCTGAGCGCTTTCCCCTCATAATTACTTTAAGTCCACAATATCTTTGGCGTGAGATGGGAAATATTTAATGTTAAAACGCCAAATGAAAAGATTTTGTAAAACGACACTAACTGTTAACAGAGGATAGAACCTGTTCCCAGGCCAGGCTCGTTAAAGCAGCTCCCGTCCCCCAAGGCGCATTCATCAGTTTTAACGTATTGCGTATTCAATTTTTTTTCTTATATAAATTGATAATATTAAATTTTATATGTATTTGTATAGTTAGGCGTAGATTATTTGCATAGGTTCTGTTGGCGATTATTTGTAATTGTAGTACGTGGGTAAAGCATTTACCAACCCGTCCTCGACTCAGGTCCATTACTTCCAGCGGTCAACCCCACAGACGCATTCATAAATTTTAACATGCTGTTCATTCACAAGAGGAATTTTCTCAAATATAAATTAATATTATAATGTACTAGCATATTGTGCATATATAGGCATAGGTTAGGTTAGGTTAGGTGTTTAGGTTCGGTTGGCGATTATTTGCATTTGTAGTACGTGGGTGAAGCATTTATAGCAAAGTGGTTCGAACAAAACTCGTCAGTGAAGCACTTGTTCCGGAAGTGTTCGAACGAAATCAGTTGAGTCGTGTGTAAACCGTTTTTCATTCATAAACAGGGGGTTTGGCGGGTGCATGGAATGGACTTTGGGTCTTTGTTTGGAGGACGAACAGTAAAATTGATGAATGCGTCTTTGGGATCAACCGCCGGATGGAATGGACTTGGTCCGAGGACGGGTTAAATAAAAATGTGGTACGTGTTCCCGCCACAATAATAACAGCTGCAGCTAGTTCTTGAGTACATGAGTCATAAGAATCTCCACACATTAATTAAGGTAAAGACAGTGTACAACTGGAGTAGATTGAGGCAAGATATTTCAACCTGGATTTTAATTACATTCAGCATATATACCTCTTCATTAGACGAATACCCATTCCTGGTTCACTGTCAGTGTTATGTGCGTTGAGGAAGGACTGTCTCACTGAGAATAACATTCAAAACAGTGGCGTATCAGCCACTTACTTACAAAGTATAAGCGTTCAATAGCAGTTAGTCGAATTAGTTTATACAGGTCCTCAGACCCGTTACGCAGGTAGTGACAGAAGGGTTAGTAACACAATGGCTCACATGCTCGACCTCCCAATGAGCAACTAACCACTTTACATTTGTGAACTAATTACATACAATTTTAATCTATCTATTGTACACAGCAATACCAACCGATTAGGCGAAAACAATTTATTAAAATAATAGGCAACCTTCGTCACCATTATTGGTAATGGGCGAATGTATATTTCTCATGAGAGATTAGAGGATACTTCTGTATTTATTGATAAAGAATATTTTTGTAAAGACAATCTTGAATATTCATTAAGTGATATAACAAATTAAACTGGATTACCAAGGAGCCGAGAAAAACAAGATTGTTGCTTCCTTTCTGTGTTGTGAAATCAAGATCAGAGTTTAAGTAAGAGTGAAAATAATAAGACTAATGGAGAAAGGTTATTTGTTAAATGAAGCGATTCAACGGAACCCCGAGTCGTTAACATCGAAGTGGGAAGGTAAAGTTATGAAGATGTTTAACCTGACCTAACCTGACCTAACTTAACCTGACCTAGCCTGACCTAACCTAACCTAACCTAACCTGACCTAACCTAACCTAACCTGATCTGACCTAACCTAACCTGACCTAACCTAACCTAACCTAACCTAACCTGACCTAGCCTGACCTAACCTAACCTAACCTGATCTGACCTAACCTAACCTGACCTAACCTGGCCTAACCTGACCTAACCTAACCTGACCTAACCTGGCCTAACCTGACCTAACCTAACCTAACCTGACCTAACCTAACCTGATCTAACCTGACCTAACCTAACCTTACCTAACCTGACCTAACCTACCCTAACCTAACCTGATCTAATCTGACCTAACTTGACCTAGATGACTGGGAGAGGATGGCTGGTACATTCAAACTGTCTACCTCCCAGAATCGTATGCTTCTGAGACATCAAGACATTCGAAATAGATTCTGTCATGGTTTCGAAGACAAGAGGGCTAACCACAGGGACACTGCAAAGATCACTTGCAAGCACCAGAATGACTCCTACTGTGTAAAGAATAAAGAAGGTAAAGAAAATCAAGCGATAACTGGACGCATTTGAATCATTTTCTTCCGTATAAAATGACAAAGAAATGCTTTTACACTCAAGAAAACGAAGATTTAAGACAAAGGGAAAGTCTTAAGGTAAGATATTAAGACAAAAAGGGAGGCGTCTAATACAAAGGCAAATTGTCTGGTAAGACAAAGACAATGCCTCTACCAAGATAACGTCTAGACCTTCACGTCAACATTCACACACAGGGGGGACACAGGTTGAAGCTGAGTACCCAAATGAGCCACAGAGACATTAGAAAGAACTTTTTCAGTGTCAGAGTAGTTAGTAAGTGAAATGCATTAAGCAGTGATGTGGTGGAGGCTGACTCCATACACAGTTTCAAATGTAGATATGATAGAGCCCAGTAGGCTCAAGAATCTGTACACCAGTTGATTGACAGTTGAGAGGCGGGACCAAAGAGCCAGAGCTCAACCCCCGCAAGCACAACTAGGTGACCACTAGGTGAGTACCCACACACACACACGCACACACACACACACAAGACTACGGAAGAAGAGCCAGAGCTCAACCCCCGCAAACACAACTAGGTGAGTACACACACACACACACACACACACACACACACACACACACACACACACACACACACACACACACACACACACACACACACTTAGAATACGACTGAAGGAACATCAGCACCAACCGCTGAGTTTGCTTCCAGATTCAAGAGGACTATGAAAGCACGGGTGACTGGCAGACAAGTACTGGACACTCTGAATGAGTGGGGGTGCAGGAATGTTGCAAGCGTGCAGCGTGGAGGTTACAGGAGTGAATGAACAAATCCACAAGGGCCGTGACGAGGATTCGAACCAAATCCTCGGTTCGAATCTCGGATGGCATCGTTACAGAGTGAATGATGCCATCTAGCGTGGCCTTAGTGGATGGGGGCGGCTGCAACAGATCAACATATTGTTTTTTGTTGTCATCATCCTAGATAACATTCGTCATCGATGATTACACATTCATCGTTTTGGTTATATTCGGTAATTGCAACATTCATCATTACTCGGTAAGTTCATCAAGGATACAATGTCGTAATTTGTTATGTATTCATCAACAGGAATACATTGATCACCGCTAGGAACACATTGATCACTGCCAGGAACACGTTGATCACCACCAGGAACACGTTGATCACCACCAGGAACACGTTGATCACCGCCAGGAACACGTTGATCACCGCCAGGAACACGTTGATCACCGCCAGGAACACGTTGATCACCACCAGGAACACGTTGATCACCGCCAGGAACACATTGATCACCGCCAGGAACACGTTGATCACCGCCAGGAACACGTTGATCACCACCAGGAACACGTTGATCACCGCCAGGAACACGTTGATCACCGCCAGGAACACGTTGATCACCACCAGGAACACGTTGATCACCACCAGGAACACATTGATCACCACCAGGAACACATTGATCACCACCAGGAACACATTGATCACCAGGAACACATTGATCACAGCCAGGAACACATTGATCACCACCAGGAACACATTGATCACAGCCAGGAACACATTGATCACAGCCAGGAACACATTGATCACCACCAGGAACACACTGATCACCACCAGGAACACATTGATCACCACCAGGAACACATTGATCACCACCAGGATCACATTGATCACCACCAGGAGCACATTGATCACCACCAGGAACACATTGATCACCAACAGGAACACATTGATCACCACCAGGAGCACATTGATCACCACCAGGAACACATTGATCACCACCAGGAGCACATTGATCACCACTAGGAGCACATTGATCACCACCAGGAACACATTGATCACCACCAGGAACACATTGATCACAGCCAGGAACACATTGATCACAGCCAGGAACACATTGATCACCACCAGGAACACATTGATCACCACCAGGAACACATTGATCACCACCAGGAGCACATTGATCACCACCAGGAACACATTGATCACCACCAGGAACACATTGATCACCACCAGGAACACATTGATCACCACCAGGAACACATTGATCACCAGGAACACATTGATCACAGCCAGGAACACATTGATCACCACCAGGAACACATTGATCACCACCAGGAACACATTGATCACCACCAGGAACACATTGATCACCACCAGGAGCACATTGATCACCACCAGGAGCACATTGATCACCACCAGGAACACATTGATCACCACCAGGAACACATTGATCACCACCAGGAACACATTGATCACCAGGAACACATTGATCACAGCCAGGAACACATTGATCACCACCAGGAACACATTGATCACCACCAGGAACACATTGATCACCACCAGGAACACATTGATCAACACCAGGAACACATTGATCACCACCAGGAGCACATTGATCACCACCAGGAACACATTGATCACCACCAGGAACACATTGATCACCACCAGGAACACATTGATCACCACCAGGAACACATTGATCACCAGGAACACATTGATCACAGCCAGGAACACATTGATCACCACCAGGAACACATTGATCACCACCAGGAACACATTGATCACCAGGAACACATTGATCACTCTGGCAACTCTCCTGAGGCCGCCATTGGTAACTGTCTATCAGTCTTCCCCATACCAAGCCTCACTGTCAATTAAGCGCCCCATTAATTGATCAATTAATGGATTAAGCAACCCATTAACTGATCAATTAATGGATTAAACAACCCATTAACTGTTTAGATAGTACTTATAATAACAATGTGGAACATCGCACGTATTTTGACGTAATTGACAATTAATTACAAAGTTTAATTTAATATATATGAATTTGGACAAACCGGAAAATGGTTTTATATTTATGTTGCTAATAGAACTTAATCTAACCAGCTTAGGCTTAATGCACGTTATCTGAGGCATATTACTATATATATAATATAGTGATATATATGTGCTATACTTTGGACTAAAACTATTTAAGTTTGGTTTTAGATTAATTTTTCCGGACTCTGTGAAGTGAATAGTTGACATAGCCACAGGAGTACTATCTGAACAGGAGGATAGGCTGCAATTAAGGAACGTGCGATGGTGGATAGACTTTGGTTGTGCACAGCCGAGATGAGATAGGCCGGACGAGGCTAGCTGGGTCAGAATAGGCCGGACAAGGCGGGTGTTAGGATAGGCCGGACAAGGATAGCTGGGTTAGGATAGGCCGGACAGGGCTAGGTGGCTTAGGACAGGCTGGATAATACTAGCTAGGTTAGGATAGGCCGGACAGGGCTAGGTGGCTTAGGATAGGCTGGACAATACTAGCTGGGTTAGGATAGGCCGGACAGGGCTAGGTGGCTTAGGACAGGCTGGATAATACTAGCTGGTTAGGATAGGCCGGACAGGGCTAGGTGGCTTAGGATAGGCTGGACAATACTAGCTGGGTTGGGATAGGCCGGACAGGGCTAGGTGGCTTAGGACAGGCTGGACAATACTAGCTGGGTTGGGATAGGCCGGACAAGGCTAGGTGGCTTAGGACAGGCTGGATAATACTAGCTGGTTAGGATAGGCCGGACAAGGGTCGGTTAGACTGGGTTAAGCCACATCACACAGGGCCTGGTCGAGCCGTCTCAATTTGAAATATGTTTCACCACACACAAAAGTCTTATTGCTGATATATCTCCCAACTAAATTCCTGATTGTTTTCTCTGACTATAGTGGATGGGTCAGGGTATAGGAAGCCTGGCCACCCCCCCCCTCCCCCCCCCCACCGTTCCTTTTAAAAAGTACCATAATTCACAATTAGGCCTACGTCACAAAATCCGCAGGTTTCCTTAATCGGAGTCCCCAGGGAGGCTTAGGCGGGGGGCAGTGTTGCCAGGTGTGTGTATATACACCTACACAGTCACACCGTCACGTTCTGTGTCTCACTATGTCTTCTGTGTCTCCCGTCGCTCGTGGCAGTAATTCGATTTGTGTCGAACTGATGCAAAGCTCAGTGAAGCTAACAATGAAGCCCAAGCGGCAAAAAGCTTCAAATAAGAGAAGGGTATAAGGTATAAGGAACTTCCTCTAGCCTTGGCAACTGTGGGACACCATCCACACCTTACCTGCCTCGATATCACGAATGTTGCCACTTACTCTTAACTAACCAGGTATTAGAAGGCCCAATGTGCAAAAAAAATGATATAAAATAGACATAAATTACGACCAGATTACTTAGAATGTGGTTAATATCTTGAGTTAATAAAGAAATCTTACCCCTTGTTAATATTGTTATAAGAATAGAATATGTGGTTGGAAGGTTTACAGGTTTGGAATAAGGTGGAGGTGGTGGTGGTGGCAGAGGGAGCATCACTATGATCTAACGGAGCCCGGCCAGTAAACACAAAGACATGATTTCGGTTCTCGACGGAAGAGATTTTAGTTACATCCCCGCCCGGTAGAGGGCTCGGCCCCATTGATATCAACACACTGTGCAAACACGCACACAAAACACCTGTAGAAAAATACCTGTGTAAATATACCTGTAATAACACCAGCGTGGAAACTTGTAAGAAAATGCCCAGTTTAAAAAAAAAATATGAGAAATACCTTTGTAAAATGCTTATATAATCATACCCCCAAATAATTTTTTTTTAATATGAAAAAAATCTGTGTAAATATACACATGGAAAAAATACCTGATTGTATTTCTTGATTTGTATTTACATCTTAATATTGAATATCCCTCGGGCGAAGATTGACATAGTACTCACCTATTGTGCTTGCTGGGGTTGAGCTTCGGCTCTTTGGTCCCGCCTCTCAACCGTCAATCAACTGGTGTACAGATTCCTGAGCTTCTCGAACTCTATCATATCTACATTTGAAACTGTGTATGGAGTCAGCCTCCACCACATCACTGCCTAATGCATTCCATCTGTTAACTACTCTGACACTGACACAGTACTTTCTAATATCTCTATGGCTTACCTAGGTACTCCGTTCTACCTGCGTACCCTTGTGCGTATGCGCACAAGGGTACATACACAAGTGAAACCTTTCACTTTTCTTGATTTGCTAGTCTCTCTCTCTCTCTCACTCTCTCTCTCTCTCTCTCTCTCTCTCTCTCTCTCTCTCTCTCTCTCTCTCTCTCTCTCTCTCTCTCTCTCTTCGTTCTCTGGCGTTCCCATGCATCTTCCTCAATCAGTTTACCATTAAGCTTAAATGGTTTTCATGCCATTAAAATTCCCATCCGACCTCATCAGAGTTTGTGAACGACGCTTCCACTAGTGCTAATTCCAAACTTTGCGAATTTAATATTGCTTCTAGAGATTAGAATGCTAATCCTCTTGGAGATGACGCGTACCCACAACGTCTCTTGGGGCACTTACACACACTTACATGTGTGTTGTTAGATGCCCATGTATTCATGTATGATGGCATACATAGAGCCAACACCCTTTGTCTTACGCACATGTACTATAATGCGTGGAAATACATACGGTAAATATAAACAAGTGCACACAAATTCATAAAAATACGCGCACATACAGACACACTCACACACACACACACACACACACACACACACACACACATACAGACACACTCACACACACACAGGTGGAAACTGAGCGCCCAAATGAGCCACAGAGATATTAGAAAGAACTTTTTTAGCGTCAAAGTGGTTGACAAATGGAATGCAGTAGGAAGTGATGTGGTGGAGGCTGACTCCATACACAGTTTCAAGTGTAGATATGATAGAGCCCAATAGGCTCAGGAATCTGTACACCTGTTGATTGACGGTTGAGAGGCGGGACCAAAGAGCCAGAGCTCAACCTCCGGAAACACAACTAGGTAAGTTCAACTAGGTGAGTACACACACACACACACACACACACACACACACACACGCACACAACACCTGTTAAGGGAAGTAAACATAACCCTAGAAGAGAGAAGAAACAGGGGATATAACTATAGAAGAGATACGAAGGAAAGTAGAGAAAGTAGACAAAGAAGCCTCTTTCAGTTCACAGTAAACCAAGAGGACACAGGTGTAAACTAGAAACGCAAATGAGTCTTAGAAATACAAGGAAATATTCGTACGCTGAACAATTGGTTAACAAGTTGAATATACAAAAAGACAAAGTCCTGGAATCCAACTCAATCCACAACTTTAGGTGAAATTTTACTAAAATAATTCAACCGACAGTTAAGTTAAATTAACACGCCACAGGTACAACAAGGCTGTAGTAAGCGTGGCGTGCGTAAACAGGTAATCCTCTACGGTATAGGTTGGTTAAGTAATAATTGTAAATAAGAAGCAATAAGATGCTTATCTTAACATACTAAGAAGGTTAGGTGAGGTCGGCGTCTTCTATGAAGCTTTTCAAGGTAAACTAAAATATTCACAATCAATTAGTATGTCACATATGCACTTATTAAATAAGCCAATATTGACTGTAAGGAAGTGCGAGAACGGGTTGCGTCCTCACTCCTGGGTTGTTACTCTCAGGTAAGCTCTCACAAACGCACGTCCATCTGTGAGGACATTGACAAGGTCGATAAAGACTTTTGCGAGTGTAACGTCATAACGACAGACACGGATGGGAGCTAAACACTGATTGCAGACGATGAGTCACAATAACGTGGCTGAAATATGTTGACCAAACCACACACTAGAAAGTGAAGGGTCGACGACGTTTCGGTCCGTCCTGGACCATTCTCAAGTCGATTGTGATATTGTCACAATTGACTTGAGAATGGTCCAGGACGGACCGAAACGTCGTCGATCCTTCACTTTCTAGTGTGTGGTTTGGTCAACATAAACACTGATTAGTCATAATAATACAAGGATAAATTTCTCTAGTCAAAGAGTATTGAGCCAGTAGAATGAACAAGAAGGTGGTGGAGGTCGAGGCTAGTACAACACACGTAGATATGATTTTAATCAAGTGTGTCAGAAAAGTATTTCAATAAATGACCAACAGCTGACAGGCGGAGACCAAGAGCAGAGTCTTGACCATGCAGACAAAACAAGGTAAGCACACATACACGTTCCCCGAGCTATAATAAGAGACCGTAGTTCAACTGACAAAACATAGAAGCTGAAGCCAAAAGCATGAAGAAAATACTCTTAAAATGAGAAGTTTGTGAGGCAAAAAACTAATTCTTTATTACCATGCATACCCAGGTTCGTGGTCATTAAGGAGTCTACCTTAGATTATGTGAAGGGTTACACTCTTTGTCTTAAAGAATACCTAGTAGCCTGCATTAGTAAATTTAGGATATTCGGACGAATTCGAGAGTTAATAAAGAAATTGCAAAGCTCCAGGTACCTCATGCCAATGGGTCTGAATGGTCTTATAACTGGGCATTCAGTGATGTAATGTGGGAGATCGTGCCGTAGATCCTGCTCACAGAGTTTGCACCTGGAGTGCTCAGGATTGGGAGATCCGTCACCTGTAGCCACCTGCCACAGGTGACGGTAACCCAACCTGATCCTGGCAATCACTGTGTCGCACAGTCTGGTGGACGTTTTGTGCTGGGACATTGGAGTATCACACCTAAATAAATAAAACGATTTATAATAGTGCTTTCAAGACTTTGAGTGTCTGTGATTTCTTTCCTATTAAACCTGAATGTTTAAAGCAATATATTATTTGAAGTAATATAGATGGGGGTACCTAGGCCTAGTTCAACTTCATGCTGGTTACATGTTAATTTGGCTGCAATGTCTGTGTCATTATGGAGGTTATATTTATGTGAGAGGGTGTCCATACACAAGAGATTCTAAACCCTTTATTCTGTGCAGCGACCAGGTTATCTATGATTGGTGTTAGGTTCTTGATGTCTTGCAGGAGAAGTTTTCAAAAGCTTGAATCCCAAAAAATTACCCCTCCTGTGTTTTATTTTAACAAGGCTGGGAGCCAGTGGTAGTGCGGCTACGTCTGTCTGTGTAAAGCTCAGTTGTTTAAACAGACACTTGCTGTCTGTGTACAAGTATTATGTCTATTAAACCTTCAATCTGCCGAGAGAAATGAGATAAGCAGATACTG